TATAAGGAGGAAACTTAAAAATATATAACTTAATATTGAGGACAATACAAATCAACTAATCTGATCAAATGATTAATAACTGATAAAGCATGTAAATGTATGAATATTCTAATTCAATTGTTAATGCAGAATCTAGTTTATTAATTTAGAATTTTTATAATAAAAATAAATTATTAATTTATCTGTGTAATGTTATGGAAACCATGAAACAAAAAAACAAGCATTGAATAAAAAAATCACAATGGAAAAAACAACCTCATTTGTAGTGTAATTTTTTTCTTGCAACAATAAAGCCTATTGGGCTAATTTGATTGTTAATAATGTTAATTTAGCTAAGATCACTGTTATTCTGAGTGAATTAGAAGATCTGGAATGGTGCTTGAAACCTTTGTGAAAACAAATGCATTCAACCATTTGCAGCAAAATAATGTTACAGAACAAAAAAAAGCAGTTTAATTTCTCCGTGTAAGTTAAATATCTCATTAGGGATTGTGCAGAGTTGATAACAAATTACATCCATCTTCTGCTTATTCCGTCAGGGCCAGTGGCTATCTCCAGCAGTCTAGGGGCAAGAGGGGTGGTACACCCTTGACAGGTCAACTGTCTGTTGCAGAGCAACACAGGAATACACAAACAAGCACATTCACACACTCACACATAAGGACAATTTAGAGAAGCCAATTAACCTGACAGTTTTACCCGGAATACCCGGAGAGAACGCAAACATGCACAGGGAGAACACGCAAATGCCATGCAGAAAGACCCCGGGCCAAGATTGAATCCAGAACCTTCTTTCCGCAAGGCAGCAGTGCTGCAAACTGCACAACAGTGCAGCCCACTGTGTGACTTTGTGGACTCATAATGAGGTGATGACTTTTGGAAACAGGCCAGGGGTAGAGAAGGGAACTGCGTAAGCAGCTTTGCTCAAGATAAACATCAAATGAAGAATGATTGGTTAATTCATTCTGATTTCATCAACTAATCAAAATTACCAAATTGATTGAAGGTCAGAAAGTTCAAGAATTGGACTAAGGGTGAATAGAGTAAACATCCCCCTTGATTTTAAGCATTCTTAGACTGCTTGGGACATCTTGCATTCAGATATGCATTTCAAATATCATGTTGATAGTAAAAAATACTGAAACCATTCATGTGTAATCCTTGTCCAAAGGAGTGGGATCAGTTTTGTCTGTTATGAGAAAAGAAACTGATCAATAGAAAAATCTTGTGATGAACACCGCTCTTCCTCACAGAATAGATGTCACGCAACTGCTACCCAAAGGCTCCCCTTATCATTTATTATTATTTCTAAAGCCTACATTTCTCACCAGTCTATAAAATGCATGAAGTGTCATTTTGGTGACTAACAAAGAAACATCTAACAGAAAGATCCAAGACTAAAACGGCAATAAATTTAAGTTCTCTATAATTTTTATATTTCTTATTACATATTTATATTTATCTTTTACAAGAATAGATTGCATTGCAGCATCTTACTGGTTAACAAGGCTTGCATTGTGTTAAACAAATTTATGAAAATGCATATTAATAGGCGTGATTATG